TTCAGCTTGAAGAAGGTCCTTTAACCCTTCTTGTAAGGCCAGTCTGGTGATGATGAACACTTTTAACTTTTGCTTGTCTGGAAAACTCTTTATCTGTCCTTCAGTTCTGAAGGGCAGCTTTGCTGGGTAGAGTATCCTTGGTTGGCAATTTTTTTCTTTCAGCACTTTGAATATATCATGCCCCTCCCTTCTGGTCTGCAAAGTTTCTGGTGAAAAATCTGCTGATAGTCTTATAGGGGTTTGCTTGTATGTCACAAGTTGTTTTTCTCTTGCTGCTTTTAAGATTCTCTCCTTGTCTTTAACTTTTGACAGTTTAATTATAATGTGTCTTGGTGTGGGTCTGTTGGTATTCATCTTGTTTGGAACTTTTGGGGCTTCCTGGATCTGAGCCAGGTTCCTTCTCCAGATTAGGGAAGTTTTCAGCCATTATTTATTCAAATGAACTTTCTACCCCATTCTCTCTTTCTTCACCTTCCAGGATCTCTACAAAGTAAAATTGGTCTGCTTGTTGGTGTCCTATAATTGCCTTAAACCATCTTCATTCTTTTGATTCTTTTTTCTTTTTGCTCCTCTGATTAGATGAATTCCACTACCCTGTCTTTGAGTTCACTGAACATTTCTTCCACTTGATCTAGTCTGCTGTTGAGCCCCTGTACTGAATTTTTTCGTTCAGTTATTGTATCCTTCAACTCTGTGGCTTCTGTTTGGTATTTTCTCATATTTTCTATCTCTTTGTTGAAATTCTCACTTTGTTCATGCATTGTTCTCTTAACTTCAGTAAGCATCTTATGACCACATTTTGAACACTTTAACAGGTAAATCACTTATATCCATTTCACTAAGTTCTGTTTCTGGAGTCTTGTCTTGTTCTTTTGTTTAGAATATATTTCTCTATTTTTCATTTTCCTCAATTATCTGTGTTTCTACTCAGTTACTTTGTATGAACTCTTGGCTTCCTTTTTCACCTAGTTATTAAATGTAACAACTGATGTATATTATTCTTTCCTGTTGTTGGTACAGAATTGACTTTTTCCCAGGATTACTTGTTTTATAATTTCTGGTGTCCATTATTTAGTTTTACAAAACAAAACAAGGAAATACCTATGCTTGGAAATACAAATACTCTTACTGGAAAAAACAAACACTCACATGTATTAAGGTACGTAACATAATAATTTCTTTTTTTTTTTTTTTTTTTAAGGTTTCTGCTGAGAAATCTGCTGAAAGCCTGATAGGGGTTCCTTTGAAGGTTATGTTCTTCTGCCTTGTTTCCCTTAATATTTTTTTGTCACTGGCTTTTGACAGTTTCAATATATGCTTTGGAGAAGGTTTTTTTGCATTAATGTAATTAGGAGTTCTGTTGGCTTCATGTACTTGTATGTTTAGTTTCTTCCCCAGGTTTGGGAAATTCCCAGTCATTATTTCTTTGAACAAGCTCTCTGATCCTTTCTCCCTCTCTTATCCCTCTGGGATATCCATAATCTTTATGTTACTTTTCCTAATTAAGTCAGATATTTCTCAAATAATTTCCTCATTTGAAAAAAAACAGTTCTCTCTCCTCCTCCATCAGAAACATTTCTAGGTGTTTATCTTCTTGGTCACTAATCCTCTCCTCCACAAGTTCTGCTCTATTTTTTATGCCTTCTACATTATTTTTTATCTCATTAATTATGTTCTTCATATTCAGAATTTCTGTATGGTTTTTTTTTAAGGACTTCAATCTCTTTGGTGAAGTATTCCTTCTGTTCATTAATTTCATTCTTGAGCTCATCAAACTGTCTTTCTGAGTTTTCTTGTAATTTGTTGAGTTTCTTTATGACAGCTATTTTGAATTCTCTGTCATTTAGATTGTAATCTTCTGTGACTTCAGGTTTGGTTTCTGGAGAGCTGTCATTATCCTTCTGTTCTGCGGTGTTACTGTAGGTCTTGATTTTGTTTGTTGAATTGATCCTCTGCCAGCACATTTGTGGTAGTGTCTGCTTGCCGATTCCATCTGCCACCACTGGGGTCAGGGAGCAGGGGCTGTGTTTTCTGTTCTTGCCCTGTCTGCTTGTAGTTGTGCCAGTCAGGCTGCTCTATGTTTGTGTAGGCTGGCTGCAGCTGCTCAGCAGGTTGCACTCACGTGGGCAGGGCCACTGTGCTTGGCAGGCAGGTCACACTAGCGTGGGCAGGGCAACTTCACGTGGGCTGGTCACTGCATTCAGCAGGCAGGGTGATTTCATGTGGGCCAGCCACTGTGCTCAGCTCCCAAGGTGCCTTCATGTGGGCTGAACTGCCTCCACTAGGTGGGGAGCATTTGCATGGATGGGGCTGCCACAGCAGGTGGATGCACCCAAGGGCTGGATTACCACTCTTAAAGTGTTTCCATGTGGCCAGCTGCCCCTGCCTCTACCCATAGTCCTGCCAGCTGCTGTGTGAGGTTCTGTGACTTGGATCACTGCCACTGGGGAGGGGAATGGGTCTACTCCCTTAGTTTTACTGCTTTCCAGGGGTCCAGTCCACCCACCTTCAGATGTATGGTGGTGTAGATCTCTCAGGCATCCTGTTGGGTTGTGTAGGGAATCCTCTACTGGTTAATGGACGTCCATTTAGTTGTAATTTAAAAGAGAGAGACAAAGGGAACAACTCACTCTGCCATGATTCTGACATCACTTCCATAATAATTTCTTTCTTTACTAAAATCAGTTAAAAATAAACAAGGCCTCTAATTTTTATTCATAATTTATATTTATAAATATAAATTACTTCTTTTTTGAATCATTGTGAATTCATGGATTTTATACATTCAAATAGTTCTAATTAATCATCATATTAAAAGTAAATTGTATTTACATTAAAATTATTTAAACTTGTCCTTGCAAGTTTTAACCTTCAAAAATAGAAACCAGTTTAAGAAGCAAAGTGTTTATTTGGGAATCAAAGAATTACAATTCAGGGAGAAAAGATTCAGGTAGAAACCCAAATAGTGTTCTGCTAGGGAGTAAAAGTCAGGGACGCTTTTCTTTTTTGAGGAAGATTAACCCTGAGGTAACATCCACAGATAATCCTCCTCTTTTTTGCTGAGAAAGATTGGCCCTGAGCTAACATCCATGCCCATCTTCCTCTACATTATATGTGGGATACTTGGTGCATAGGTCTACACCTGGGATCCAAACCAGCCATCCCCGGGGCCACTGAGGTGGAGCATGTGAACTTAACTGCTATGCCACTGGGCTGGCCCCAAAGTCAGGGACTTTTAAAGGCAAAGAAGAGAGATTTGCATTACAAAGAATTTTAATTGGAGTTGGAGGCAGCAAGATAGTCTTGGCTAGACATTGACTGACTATTGATTCTAACTTCAGAAAGTCCACAACCATCAGTCTTTGTGATCAGAATGTCCACTCTCCTGCTGACTTCTAAAAACAATTGCTTGTAAAACAACTGGCATTTTGGCCCAGTCCAAAGGTTTGGCCCAGTCCAAGGTTCAAGACAACAAGGCAGTTTCTCTGGAAAGGCAGCTCAAGTTCTATTTTTAAAATGGTTCCTCTATAGTTAGTTTTGACACGAGTTAACCACTTTACCTTTTAGTACATTTTACTTTTGACAAAGATTGTGTCTTTACCACAGAATTTCACATTTCCTCCACCTTTGCCTTAACAAGCCTGTTTTCTCTTATCTAGGAAGATCTTAGGATTTAATCAACAGCTCTGTCACCTCTTCTTCAACTCCACAACAAAAGTTAATAGAGATTTTGCTCATTTTCATGTTGTCTTTTTTGTAATCTTAACTATTTCTCGAACACAGCTTCTTATACAGCTCAGAGAACTTTTTAGAGCAGAGTTTCTCTCATGTTTTTGAAGTTATGATTGTTTTTGGGGAACACAGAATATGCCACATCTAGTTTATTTTTTTCCTGTTCTAAGCAGGGTTCATATATCCTCTAGGAGTCCTGGATCTTTTTGATAAAGAATAAATCTTACTTTAGGCAAAGATCTAGTTTTTAGAGTTGGTTATGAGGTTTTGTGGATAAGTGCTATTGTTGCTGTGAGAATACTTTTGGTTGTGATAGTGTTGGAATATATATGTGTTGTCAAATTTATAACTTTACTTCCCACTCCCAGCTTAACTAACATAGCAAAGTAGTATTTCATTCAAGATCACTACACACACACTTAAAGTAATATTGTAGCTTAAAGGAGAATGCAGGGAAAGGGTCATATTCTGGAAGCTAGAATTTAAGAAGAATCTCTAAGCGGTAGGTACTTATGTTGTCATCTCAGGCTGCTATAACAAAATGTCATAGACTGAGTGGCTTAAATGACAGACATTTCTTTCTTGTGGTTCTGGAGGCTTGGAAGTCTGAGATCAGAGCACCAGCATGGTGGTGGTGGTGGTGGGGAACAAAACATTTAGTCCATGACAGTCCTGTAAATGAAGTCAGGGACTCCAATGGTGTCTTTATCACAGAATGTTACATTTTCTTTTCCTTTGACTTGACAAGACTATTTTCTCTCAGCTGGGAAGATTTTGGTGTTTAATCAACTCCAAAGCAAACTTTTTGTGTCTTTACTTACAACGTACGTACACTGTGTATATCAAAAGCTTTTGCTCATTGTTCACATTGCCTTTTGCCATCTTGCACAATATAACTGCCTTTGAAAATACAATATACAGGAAAAAAGAAAGAAGAGGGAATATTTATTAAACTTTTATTAAGCATCGTGATTATTCTTTTACGGCATTATTAAATTTTTTGTTTGAATGACTAAAACAAATTGGGAAATTCCACATCATGCAGTGATCTCAACATACTTATGGAAATTTCTATTTTTGAGCATTGCTTTCTCAATTTCTTTTTTTCTTTGCTCCATCTCCCAGATTGAATCAAAGGAAACCTCAATCTTTAAAAAGACTTCTTCTTTTGGTTAAGTCTTTTATATTTAGAAGTTTCTAATTTCACCAGAGTAGGTAAGATTAATGTTCAATCTCAAGTATTTCTGAATATATTTCCTTATTCACAGAAATATACTCTGGGGAAAAAAATTAAGAAGCTTCTGGTCTTCCCAACCACTGGACAACAAGAGAGTTAACACACAATGGGGCAAGAAGAACCTCAAAATAAACGTGAGTACTTTCCTTTCAATTTTGAAGAGGGAGATAGAAACTAAGATTTAAAAATATGAGTTGATGGTAGTTGTGAGGATTGAAGATGATGATGATGGAGAGGAGGAGGGGAAGGAAATGGGGTTGATTTGGGTGAAGGGGAGGGCCATAGATAGATTCAAATATGTTGGGTAACAGCAACTTCTTTATAAACTGTAAACTGGGCCAAGAGAGGAGATAAAGTATATATAAGAGAAATAAGATGGAAGGAAATGGAGTAATTTAGGAAGATTCTTTTAAAGGGTAGAGAGAGAAGATAGATATAGAAAACACACTGGCTAAGGCTAAGAGTGTACCAGAGGCTCTGACTTTATCCCATTTGTGTTTTACTTAATTGACTCAAATGGATTTGTATTATGAGAACATTAAATAATATTTTTGAGAAATATATAGAAAAATTCAAATATATGTAATTTTAGATTAAAGTTTTGCTTCATTTCATCACTCTTCCATGGCAAACTTCAATGGGACCACAACTTACAATGGTCCTAAAAAACACTTTTTTATGTAACAAAATGTCTTGGAGAATTTTTATGTCAGTACATACTGACATACATGATTATTTTAATACCTATATTGAATTCGAACATATGGATTCAACATAATTTAGAATTTCTACTATTAATAATACACAGGCAAGACTTTCAGGACATTCGGTCCTGTTCAAAGTGTTCATAAGACATTTGGTCCATGCCAAAACATCTTTGATATTTAGTCCTGTCCAAAACCATTTGGACCAAATATGCTCATGGATATTTTGGACAGGACCAAATGTCATGGACCTTTTCGCAAGGACAAAATGTCTTATGGATCAAATGTCTTACGGACATTTTGGACAGGACCAAATATCAAGGACCTTTTGGTGTGAACCAAATGTCTTATGAATTATTTGGACAGGACCAGATGTCTGCTAATCCATTCAAGTGCTAGTTTCCAGTGGTTTTTTTTTTCTATTTCCAAAAGTAGTGCAGTGAATATTCTTTTATATAAATAAGTTCAGTTATTTCTATAAGATAGATTCCTACAATTCAAATTATTGTGACAAATATAGTGCATTTAAAAATTGATAAATGCTGTTAACTTGATCTAAAAGGCTTTTTAATTTACAGTTCAACAGCAGCCTTTATTTCCTCACCAAGAGTGCTTATTTCCCTCTGGCCTTGTCAACACTAGGTATTTTCAATTTACTTTTTAAAATCTGATGAGTGAAAAATCATACCATAATATTATAGATTACATTTCCCTGGTTAAGCATACTCTCATTTGCTTAATGACCATTTATAATTTCAACAAATTAAATTTTCAACAAATTTCTTGCTCAAATTTTTGCTCAGCTTCCTAACTGATTTTTATAATTCTTTATAAAGTCTGGATAGTAGTATTGTGACAAGATTTTTCTTTCATGTGTTCCTTGTGTTTTAACATTCTTTGTTATATAGAAGTTTTATTTATGTACCCAAATTGTCAATTTTTCATGATTTTGGGGAGGTTTTGTGTCTTCCTTATAAAAAGCTTTTTCAATTGCAAAGAAACAAAAAATTGTTCACATTTTTCTTATTTATTTATTTATTTATCAGTAAGCCGTAAAATTGATTTGTTCATGGGAAATCTTTAAACACTCCTCTAGCCCTAAAATATCTTGGATGACATCATATTTAGCATGCTTCTTGGTAGTATTAGCTTCCCTAGTTCTTGTGGCTGAGGAGGGGATAACTTATTTGTCCTTCTCTGTGTCCTGGTAGAAGGAGTCTGCCATTCCCAGTGGATCCCTTGGGTCATTGCCATTGTGTTCATCCCAGTTCTCAGTGTCTGTTTTATTACAAGTTGTTTGGGTAAGTTATTGGCAAAAGTGGAACTCTCCTTGAATTATATTCCCCCCAAAATTTCATAAAGTTTTTGTAAACCTTTTATGACCTTGATTTTCCCCAACATATCAATCTATAGTGCCTTGGATTAAAATTCAGAGCTACATACTTGACCCTCTATTCTTTGATGGTGTCACCTTGTGTCAGGGAAAACTTGTTCTTTCTCATATTGAGGCCTTGTATAAAGTTACTATAATTACAGCAATGTAGTCTAGGTACAAGTAGGTACAAGTATAGGTACAAGGTACAAGTATAGACAAATAGACCAGAGGAGAAGAATAGAGAGCTCAGTTACAGATTCTGCACATATGAACTCTTTATATAAAGCAGAAGGGGATACTGCAGAGTTATAGGGAAAGAACAGTTTTGTTCAATTAATGTGGTAGAGATTATTGATTACCCATAAAGAAGATAAATGGACAATGGCTTCACGATCTTGAGGCAGGGAATGATTTCTTAAACAAGTCACAAAAAGTGCTAGCAAATAAAGAGAACATTGAAAAATTATACTAAATTAAAGTAAGAATTACTGTACAACAAAAGATACCACTAAGAGTGAAAACAGCATAGGAAATGTTTGTAATGCATATAATTAATAAAAGATTAGTGTAAAGAATATATAAACTCTTTCAATCAATAGGAAAAACAATACAACAGAAAAATGGGCAAAGTCTTGAAATAGGCACTATAGAAAAGAGAAAATGAAATGTCTCATAAACATATAAAAAGGAGTCAACTTCATTTGTTTTCAAAGAGATGCAAATCCAATTCACCACGAAATACCGTTTGCAAACATACTAGGATGGCAACAATGAAAAAGTCTGGCAGTACCAAGTATTTATGATGCTGTGGAGCAACTGGACTTCCGATGAATTAGTGCTGGTGAAAGTGTAAAGCAGCACGATCACTTTGGAAAAGTTTGCCATAATCACAGTTGACAATATGTATATCCTATTACCAGCAATTCCACTCCTAGGAGTATACCCGACAGAAATGCATGCTTCTGTGCCCTGGGATGCATGGTCAAAAATGCTCATAGCAGCATAGCTCACAAGAGCCACACACTGGAAACAATGCAAATAACTACCAGAAGAATAGAGAAATACATTTTAGTGCATTAAGACAATAGATCACTTTACAGCAATGAAAATGAGTGCTTATAGTTGCATGTAACAACATGGAAAAATTTCAGAAGCAATGCTGAGCAAAAGACAGAACCAAAAGAATACATGGTACATTATTTCATTTATGTAAAGTTCAAAAGCAGGCAAATCTGATCTATATGGTTTAGGGATATGTTATTAAGTTGTAAAATTGTGGAGCAAAGCACAAAGTGATTACTTTAGAAGCCATGACGTAGTTACCTTTAAGAGAGAAGGACTGGGTTGCATTTGGGACGTGAAGACCACCTGGGGTGTTGTCAATGTCCTGTTTCTTGAGCTGGGTAGTTATTACCTGAAGTGGTCACTTTACAATAATTGGATAAAGTGTACATTTATGTTTTTCCCTTAACATTTGGTTACATTTCAAAATAAAAATATTTAAAAGATAAATAAATGTATAAGGCTCGTAAAACTTTGCAGAACTATCCCAGTGTTCACCAAAAATCTCCACTTTAACACAAATTCTGGTAGAAAAATATCCTTAAAAGCACGTGCACATAAAGATTTTCAAAGCACCCCCATAAAGTGCAAAATGGACAATACAATAATAAAAGTGTTAATTTTCAACAATTGCTTCCAATTAATTCACCTGGAGCTGGAACAAAGGAACGGTGTAGTAAGAAAAGAGAATGTAGGGGGTCTTAACTATTAGGGCAGGAGAAAGGTTAAAGGGGCAGGCCCTCATTTCTCCAACTAAGTGGTTATATAGGAAAAAGAAACACTTTTTTCCCTCCTTGACAGTGACTCATCGCAACTTTGTACACTGCAAGAGAAGCATGAGAGTGTTCCAGCTTCCAGAGCACCCCAAGAAGCTGACATGCATCAGAGAGAAATCAGAACTGAAAGGTACAGACTGCAGAGAGCATAAGAAAATTTCTTTCTTATTTCCGTTTCTATTCAAATTCATAATTGGACTTGAAGAATATCAGTAGTAAACCAGCAGAGATTAAAAGAACGTAAGACTAGACTCTGGCACGAAAGTGAACCCCAGTGAATTGAAACGGGATTATGTCTCATGACTGTAATCAGCTTTATAACGGGAGAATATAAGAACACATTTATGGGCCAATTTTTGTCATCCAAAACATATCATTAGTTTAATTCTATTTTCTTTTGATTCAGACATACCGTAAGGACTGTTTCCTTCTAGAATATATAGTTTTGCTGAAGTGTGTTTATCTCTCTGATTACTTTGGAACTTGTAAAGTCTTATTTCGGAGAGTGGGGAAATGCTTGAGAGTTTTAGCAGGTTCTTTGCCCCCTTCCATAAAATGTCCTGCAAAAGGCTTTGTTATAGAAATACTTTAAATATAAAAGTAAGTAGATGTAGGGACATTGAAAGACGATCATGTTTTCTAAGAGAATACCTTGTAATTTTATCATAGTTATTATGTGATTCAGACGCTTTTGTTTACAGGATATTTAGAAATGTGATTTTCAGAATTTTTTAAAAGGAGGAACGGAATGCTCTTGGTAATCGTGGTATGATTCCTACACATGTTAATTGGACATCAAGTTGTAGAATAGTCGTGCAGTCTGTGACAGATGAAACGCTCCTTTGTAACTAATTTTCGTTTCAATTTTCACGTGAGAGAGCACCTGGAACTGTTGTGCTGTTGGCTGGAGATCCTTCCAGTCCAACCGCTGCTTTCCTCTTAATGACAACAAGACATGGGCCGAGAGTGACAGGAACTGTACAGGGATGGGGGCTCATTTGGCTACTATCAGCACGGAAGCTGAGCAGGTCGGTTGGAGGCTTACATTAGCTTCTCTGTTGGTTTGAATCTCTTTGCAAAGAAAGAGGAATTTCCCTGCTCTGCCGCTGTGCCTTTACTTCATCTCTTCCTCCTCCCTGGAAAGCCTTACCTTCCTCTCTCATTTTTCTTCATCTGGCCAACTTCTACTGTCTTTCCGGATTTGATTCACGTGTTATTTCCTCCAGAAAACTACCCTGACCACCTTCCCTGCTCCACCTTTCCTACTCTAAGTTGGAGGTATTTTCATGGTGCTCTGTGCACAGTGCGATCACAGCACTTACTTCAGTGTACTGCAGTCGTCTGCTCACTACTCTGTCTCTTCTAATGGCTTCTACTTTGCAAGGGGGCTGGGGCCACGCCTCACTCATCTTTGCGTTGCCAATGTCCTGTGTACTGCTAGGCAAACTGGGTAGGTCTTGATAAATGTTGTGAGTAAGTGAACAAAGGAATAGTTAATCAGGACTGAAATAGCTTCTCAGGATATAGTATAGGAAAAATAATTCAGATGTATGGTTCTAATTCTAAATAAAAAACATCTTAAGGTAAATTAAATTCTTCAAAAACTGAAATTTATTTCCTCATGTAATATATTTCCATATATGTACCATGACCCTGATTCTACTCTTTTCATGGTCGGCAGGGTTTCCTGGAGGATTCTGTTTTCATGGCTTGGCAATATACAGGTTTACTGGCTATTTGAATAAAATGGAATTTAATGAAATACACAAAGAAAGCAATTTTAAAAACAAAAGTTCCTAAAAATCAGATCATATTAAACATTGTGCTAAGTGGTTTGCAAATATGATCTCACTTAATCTTCACAGGAACTATGAAGTAGTGGAAGTGTCCCTTTTGGAGATGAGAACCGGGGTTTGGTGCGATTAAAGCACTTATTAATATTACACAATAAATAGCAGAGATAGGATATGAAAACAGATCTGTCTGATGCCAACGCTTTTGTGCTTAACTAGTAATCTATTTGACCTCTTCCTTCTTTTCCTAACAAAACAGCTATCACATAATAGATGCAGATATATTTATAAGAATTTACATTTTTTATGCAGAACTTTATTCTTCAATTTTTGGATAGACGATTTCCATATTTCCTGGGACTTACGAATGAGAACCCTGAAGGCCAGTGGCACTGGGTGGACAAGACACCATTTAACCCACATATAGTGTGAGTATACTGACCAGATGGAAGAGCTTTATAGGCAAAGGTGAGAAGAAGGTAGCAAGCAGAATTCATTTCGAGATGGAGTATACTTGTATAAAAATGCTTATTCAGAACAGAGCACTGTGTGATGAATAACCTCTGTATTAGTCTACTACTATACTTGTATTGGACAGTGCAGCTGAAAATTTTTCACTAGGGGCATTTTCTCTGCATTGTCCCCTGACCTACATACACCCCCCCCCCCGCCCCCCCCCACAGACACACACACAGACATGCAATTTTTTTCATTTCAGATTCTGGCATGAGGGTGAACCCAACAACTATCAGAAAGAAAACTGTGTTGTCCTTGTAAGTGCTCAAGACAAATGGGCCTGGAATGATTTTCCTTGTAACTTTGAGACAAGGAGAGTTTGTAAGATACATGGAACAGCATCCTGTGAAACCCGTGAGTAGGTTTCTACAGCTCACTACTCTGTCTCTTCTAGTGGCTGAGTAGAAACCTGTGAAGGTACCCTTGTGATGAGGACAGAGAAGAAGAACCAATGAGACAAGGGCAGCATGTACCTGCATCATTGGAACTGAAAAAACATGCTGGATCAAAGAACATTTTCAGTCATGATGGCTTTATTTATTCTTATTCATTTCATTCAAGGTAATGTGTTTTTGTCTGGTGTTTTGATGGAAGGAAGCATCTTTTCTGTGAGAACCAGTTTTGATTAACTTCGCTTTCTTGATAGTATTTCAAAGTATTTACTTTTCAATTGGTGTGCATCAATTACACCTCTAACAGAATGGCTTGAATGGTGTAATCTCAGTCAGTTTTGCCTCTGCTCAGATTCTTAGCTCTTAAAATTCAAAGTTAGGATATTCCAACTGGTAGTGATGTCGTACTTTTTCAACTCAAATATTACAAATCTTTTAAAGGTTTTAAACATTTCTATTGTTTGATACTTCATTTGCAGACTTTTTAATAGTATTAGTCATTAGGCTGATATTCCATGTGCAAAATATTTTCTGAACAACAGTATAGAATAGTTCAGAATTATGGTATTGCCTAGGTAAGAAAAAAGAGTCTATCTCCTTTTAAAAAATATATTTCTTACTACACCCTAAATGTCTTCCCAAAACGGGGGGTTTCAAGCTTACCTAATGTCTTTGTGAGTGGAAAAGTCTCTTTCAGGCTACCTTAACCAAACTTCTTCCATTTGTATAGTTGAGGAAACAAAACGCTCAGGAAACCAATGAGCCCACCTTCACATTGCTAGTTCATGACAGAAACAGGACTATGGCCCAGATCTACCTTCATAAGTGGTGAAATGCATTCCCTTTATTATTATGGGAAAGTTACTGGGGATAACTTGGCCAACAGATAAAAGTTCTTCTTCTTCTTCTTTTTTTTTGGTGAGGAAGATGGGCCCTGAGCTAATGTGTGTGACAATCTTCCTCTATTTTGTATGTGGGATGCCACCACAGCATGGCTTGATGCATGGTGTCCACACTTGGGATCCAAACCTGTGAACCCTGGGGTGCCAAAGTGGAGTGTGTGAACTTAACCACTATGCCACTGGGCTGGCCCCTAAAAGTTCTTAATTATTTGAAGTAACATTGTATTAGTGTTTCTATATTTTTAATTTGAATCAGAAAGAATCATATTTTTGTAAATAGTTAACATGTTTCTCTAGAGCTATAAAGCTATGGTTCAAACTAGCAAGGAAGTCATTGTTTTAACAACCTGAAATTATGATTTTGTGTTATATGTAGTATTAACTATGAAGCAGTCACATCCAATGTCAACAAAATATATTGGTCTTAAAATTCTCAATTAGCTGACGTTTCCTGGATCTAAGTTAAAAAAAATTCAAGCAACAGCTTTTTAACCTAAATTCCTTACCTCTGTTTTTAAAAGCAGTATTTATTATGTAAATTGGTTAGGATCTTCTGAATTTGAAATAGTAGTGTTTGATTGATTGTGTGTGTGTATGTGTATTTGTGTGTCTGTGTTTAAGCTGATACTTTTAACTGAAGTGGTGTTAAGTGACTTTGTGTTTGCAATATTCACTAAATTACATAGCACAAAATCTACAAAACTTGTTGAAATAACTTTAAGTAAATGTTAATAGGCTTTGTAGAGTTAATATTATCCATTTTTAATTTGTATAAAACTGTATAGAGATTCAGTTGTCAATAAAATGTGACCTCTTTGTGATATTATGCATCTATGTCTACATCCATATCTCCAATCTATTTCTCCCCATGCTGCTCATTTTTCACTACCTCCATGGTGACCACCAAAGACCAAGTTACCATCGCTCTTCCCTGGGTTATTGCAATGGCCTTAGGATCGGTCTCCCTGTTTTCACTCTTAGTTCCTTTCAGTCTGTTCTCAGCTCTCATGGCCCCTCTCCTATTCTTCACAATTTCTTTAAGACAGCTGATAGTAATTTCATAAAAATAAATGCTAATTCTTTTACTACATTGTGGTAGTCCTAGAAGTTTGAAACACACCAAGTTTAAATATTGTTTTCTCATCGTAGAAAAAGTGAGGTATATATATGTCAAAAAGGCAAACAGTAAAAACATTTATAAAAGTATAAGGTAAATCTCTCTTCCACCCCGAACTCCAGTCTCCTAAATGCCTCTTCAGAGTAACTATGATTATCAGTTTCTTTTATGTATTTCCACATGTTTGTAAGTGTTATATAAACATATATACATATATAACCCACAATTCTTTACACCTTTGCCTACATAGTCTTAAACATCTTACATTTTTTATTTAACAATATATTCTAGAAAATGTTTCATACTTTGTTCCTTATAAGCAACTAGTGTTTCATTGTGTTGGTGTATCACAATTTGAAATAACCTTCAAATGACAAAATATTTCCCCTATGTAATGCAAATCAACAAAATAATGGCTGTGAAACAAACTGCGAGAGCAATTCCAGTTTAGATCAGAAAAGGAAGACAGAGTTCCAAGAAGATTTCTTTTCCCCATGAAAATACAGGACTAATAGAATGTATTTAAATGCATAGAAAGGTGACATACAACTCCGGAGAGTTAAGGAATGAATTATTAATTAGTGCATAGAAAACTAGATAAATATGAAAAATGATGCCAATGTTAGCTACATGAAAAGAAAAACATGTTTAAGAAAGTATACGTAATCATGATACAGTATGTGATTCAACAGTGAATATTTACATATTCATAAAAATGTAAATGAATATTGTTTTAATAATAAATTATTATATTGTGATATCAGAAGGATGGGAATTTTGTGTGCATGTGCGTGTATGAGAGAGAGAGGGAGATTCTTGTTTCACTTCATTTCACGTGGAGAAATTATGAAATTATCTAAAATTGAAGAAAACCAAAGCATTAGAGTTTAAACTATATTTAGAAACTACTGGATAGAAATAGAAACCATACTATTTAGAAACATGGAACTCAACAGAAGATAAAACATCTGAAGAGTTGAATATGTTTGCCTCTTGGACATGGGAATTGAGAGTCAGCAGAAAACAGCTATTTTTAATTATAATCCTCATAGGAGAATTTGGTTTTTTAAGAAATGTACATGTATGTACATAGTATGCATATTTATTGATGTAATGAATCATATTCACATTTAAAAAGAGTTGCTTAAACATTGTTTAATAAAATCAGTAAACCATTTAGTGTAAGACATTTCCCAAATAAGAAATAGGAATTTTCTACAGAGGGTCTACTCCAAACCTATAGCAAGCATTATACTTCATAGTAAACCATCAGAAGCATTTCCTTTAAAGTCAAGAACAAAACAAGGATGCCCACTAATGCAGCTTCTGTGTAACGATATATTGGTAGTATTAGCTAGCTTAGTAGGATCAGAAAAACTGGAAAGGGAAAAAACACAACTATCATTATTTGCAGACCAGAATTTTCCAAAAGAAATAAAATGCAAGTAACAAATATGAACTAAATATGCTTAAATTTTCCAGTAGCTACATCAAAAAAGTAAAAATAAATTATTATTGTAATAATTTATTTTATTTAAACCAATATATCAAAAATATTACCACTTTAACATGTAATCAATATAAAATTATTAGTGACATATTTCACTTTTTTTTTTCCAAATAAAGTCCTCGAAAATCTGGTGTGTATTTATTTTACGGTTCCCAGCATATTTCAACTAAGACTAGAGTTTAATGTGCAGTAGCTATGGTACTGGATAGCTCAGTATACAGACAATATAATTCTCTACATAGAAAATGTAAGGGAATCTACAGACAAAGTGTTAAAAAAATTATATTTTAAAACAGTTTCAACTGATAATTTACTTCTTAAACAACAATTTTCCAGATAAATAATTTAGGTTCCAGTGATCTTTACTCTAACCACTAAACTCTTAGCAACTGTTTCTTTTCTTGCCAAACTTTGAAGACCAAGTCAATTGTATAACTTAAATGATAAATATATGGTGAAATAATATGCATTAATATTTTCAGGTCTTTTAATATTGAAATAAAACTTAATCAAACTATAGCCACCTGCAGGCAAACAATGATGAACAAAAAAATCTTTATATCTTTCAGTGTTTCTTCATTGATGCCGATGATTTGAAAAAAAGGAGTTAGAAAGTTAAAGATATATTTATTGGATTACTTTTAGGTTGAACGACTTTTGTTTTAAAGATATATTGACTTCAAAACCACAGATTGTCTCTATGTCTAAGGGAAATCAACATTTGTCAGGAATGCTAATATATTTACTTGTTTTTTTGAATTTTCCCATTCAGTGATTACACATTAAATCCAAGGTATGAATTTTGAGTCTCTTTATGGTGCTGTCTGCAAGAAACATGGTTATCAAAGCTGCCATATTATTTGCATATGTTGGCTAATCTTATCAGTCTTGATAGAATATTACACAATAAATGAATAGGCTTGAGACAGGAACGCGTCAAGCTGAATATTCCTTAGAATAATTTGACTATTGGACTCTGGATCTAGCAGAGCAATAGATACACATTCAGGTGAGATCCAGTTAGTCAAAGGTAGAGACTAGAGAGAAAAGGGAGTTTCTGGGTTGAGTGGACTGGATGACAGTCTGTTTGGAGCTGAAAGTTAGCATGGCCTTTCCCTAAGAAGGTGCAATAAAGGCCTTTGGCAAGAAAATCCACACTAGTCTTTCAAGCAGAAATAAGTTTCATTGCTTGAGGAAGTTTCTTACTCATTACACAGAAGAACGTAGGATATATGCTTGGGCAGGGGATAAAAACAGTGTGAAATCAAGAAAAGAAGACAGATTTTTCAGGAACTAGAAAGAAGACGCATTGACACAGAACCTGAATTCAGGCAATTGTTCAAAGGCATTCTCCAAAATCTTCTTCTTTGTCGGACTCTGTACTTGTTCTATGTCCCTGTATTTTCATATAAATACTCAGAAATGAAGCAAACGTACCAAAAAGAGCATTTTTTCTTCTAGCATTTTCTAGAGAATTTCCTAGTAAATTCTGAGAAGAAGTCCTGAGACTAATATAGAGAAAAATGCACTTCAGTTAGTATAATGAATTATAACATTCAAAGCTACTATTTTTATTTCTATCAAAGTAACAAACACTTTTGAAGCCCTTATGAAGTGCAGTGGACACTTTTATCATGTTGGAGTTGAGGCTGTGTTCATCCCTTGTTCCTCCTCATTTATACATTTAAGTTGTGCTTTCTGTTCTTAGAGGTTTTTCTTTGTTCAAGTATTTATTTCCGGCATTTCGCAAATCCGAAAATGACGGAAGAGACAGGCCACATCATTCCAGTTTTGCCTTGGGTTTGAAGAGTCTCTTATGGTGACACAGTCCTCCACTGTAGCTAAGTTGTTGGGCTCCCCTATATCCCAGAAGCTGAAAGAGAGCAATGTGAGAGATTTTAAATCTCAGCTACAGGAGATAAAGTGACCCAACATGCTAGGCAAATTACATTTGTATTATTTAACTTCACAACAATTTTGTGAGGTCGGTATTGTAATCTCCATTTTATTAGTGGAAGAAAGGAATCTCAGAAAAACTCAACCATTTGTGTAAGTCTTAGAGTTTATGAGTAGTGAAGCTGAAATGGATATTTCTGACTTTCTATTTTGTTGTGCTCCCTCATGGCATTAGACTCAGTCTGAGAAGTTATAGGAAAGATTGACATCCTGATGGATTTGTTTCTTTTTCACTCATATCCTGTATCATGTTTGGTTCCCTGTAGTCTACATAGAGTTTGTATTACTTAGGTGCATACTTCAGTGCTGTTACAGTGCTATAGTGAGGCAACTTTCTAAAGTATCAGAGCGTCTGGGCTATACTCTTAGAACTGATTTAACCTCCTTGACCTTTAGTTTCCTCTAATGCTAACTGAAAATTAATAATATCGGTGTAGCTCAGAGGTGTAATTAAGATAAAATGGAATAATGAATGAGATAAAAGCTTGAAAACTCCAAAATGCTGTGCTCTAATGATGTAAGGCCATTATTAAGGAGGAAAGAGACATTATCAAGGAGGTTCCTGCTTTCACTCCATAAGAATCTGTTGTCTTTCCCAAATCACTATTTTTGTCTCACTTACTACAGCATGAGGGCATAAGACTCTGAATTTCACTCTTTGCTGCATTTCCAATGAGTCTTAAATTCTAATCGTCTCATCTTCATCTGTTATTTCCCCTTTATTCTTGAGATAGTCTTAGGAAATGAGAGCCATGGATCCTCATTCTTTCCTTTTCTCCCTTCTTGCATCTAATATCATCAAGGACAGACCTGAATATATCTCACGGAACAGAAGGAGGTTCTGAGAACTCCCATCAACAATGGTCTAACTTTAGGATTTGGGATAGTGCTATAATTCTCCTACAAAAAGAAAAATTACCTCAGAGACTTTGTTAAAGGTGTGCCATCAACCCATTGCCAATCACCTTCTGTCACCTGGTCTGTCAGTCCAATATAAAACTCTTTCTCTCTAGGTTTTGCATGGAAAAGGAATTCCTATGGAAGATACGTGAACAAAAAAATAGGAGATCAATTATTTAAATTCTGAACAAATGTTGAAGGTAATTGTTATTTAAAAAGATAAGTAGAATATGGACTAAAAATGATAGATAAAGGCCCTGAAATTGTAAGATTATGGAGGATTATCCCCTGATTTTTTTATTGGGATATAAATATATATAACATAAAATTAAACCAACAGAAAGGAACCGTCAACAGAGAAGGAGGTTCTCAATAACGCATTCAAAATTTATCTACTGTTATTTGTAGCAAAATCTACTGTATATATCTAGCACAAAACAGTATTAATCACAGCTTAAAGATAATGGACAATATTTGCTTTCCCTCATTCATATGATATGTTCAGAAACATAATGGTCATTCTAAAATCAACTCCTAACCCTTTTTTTCCTGCCTTACTAATAAAGGAACTGAACATGGAAATTCCTTTTTTCTAAGACTCTTCTAGTAAAGGAAATAAATTAGAGTAGCTATTGACTTACAGAAATAGTAGAAACAGCATGTATTTCAGTACCTTCATTTAACAAGTAGTAATGTGGGCCAAACACTGTACACATGTATGGAAAAAGGGATAGATCCTGTGAAGAATGTCACATTGATGCTGGAGGAGGCTTTACTCCAACTACCTGCTCCTGCTGGGTGTTGATAACCACCAGATGGGCTCCCATGTATGAGCAGTTTTTTAAACTTGCTGTCCAGGTCATGGTGTTACTAGAAAAGAAGTAGCAGCTAGATTGAAAATGTACCCAATTCAACGGACAGCAATTCTTGACGGAACCTAGGGGAAGAGAATTTTCTGTGAGTATCCCCTACGAACTGAGTAAGAAAACAGAAACCTTCATCTGGCCCATAAAGTCCATCAATTATAGTCAGAAGCCTTGGAACATCTTCATCATGTCCCACATGTTACTATCTAAGACTTTAGGTAATTTCTATGTCAGTAAACACAAACAGCAATTTTCTTGTCTTTTGAGACATAATCCTTATTTTCTAGAAGTCAGTGCCAGTCAATGCAACCATATATACAATCTATCTCAGTAATGCTATTGATATAGAACCATATTATCTGTTCGTAGACTTCCAAGGTCAGAGAAGGTTATGTATTTTATCTGAGTGACCTCTAAGCAACCATCTCTCATGTTGCCCAAACAATGACCCTCAACAAAATCTCCAAACTGGTTGTGCAGGTGAGCTAAATTTCTTAGAATTACAGACTTTTAAGTTTATTAAAAATAAATAGTCCAATCTCTCTCAATTTAATAGTGAGGAAATCATAGCCCAGAGAAAATAGTCATTTTCTAGTGTCATGTAGCATTTTGCTAAGACTTGAAACAGTACTGTCTGTAAGAGTATAGGAAGTATATTTGTGAGGTATTTCCCAATTCCCTACTCTACACAATGTTTTTCTCTTTCACCTCTTTTTGGCAGCAGGCAATGAATTAAATAAAAAAGACGTGCTCCTGGGGATAAACTTCCATTTCTAGATTCACTATTCAGACATATACCTCAAATTTATTCTAAAAGTTTGCTATAATGTCCCCAAGATATCCTGCCCCAAGGCTAGTTGCATTTCCAAAGTTTCTATTCCTGTCCTCTTACCAACTTCTCATCATTCTTTTACAGCACAGGCAAGATTTTACATTTTATTTTTGAAAAACAGGACCTAATAAAACTGTTTTACTTATCCAAAAATCAATCCAGAAGCCAGGTATGTAAATTTTGATGTTCAAATTTGAAGACTATTATACTTGGTCCTTCATTACGGCAGGAGAGCTCCATGAAATCCTCCTGTGGCTGGAACTTTTTCTCACCACAGATTTGAAAGATGTGATATGTCACTGTAAGGAAAGGGGCACAGTTAATGTTCATTACTCTTTTGATAAAAAATAAATTTTATTGTTTTTGTACTTATAACAAAAGTGCCAATCATTATCATAATATTTTCTTACTATTACATTTCCTTTTGCGTGGATTTACTGAGATTTATTTACTCAAAGAAAGAAGAGGGAATTCACATTTCATGGTTTTCCTGATTTGTGAGGATGAATTTACTTTATTTTCAGGCCCAAAGGCCCAAAGAAAACAAATGTATTTGTACTCTCTCTTATGCCAAGTCTAGCTCTTTCTACTCTGCCTTCCAAAAAGTGATTTGTCATGTCTCTCTGGCTAGGACCTGTGAAAGATGACATGAGTGGAGCCATATCAAAACAGAGCCAGAGCAGACATTTTAGAGGGATTGCCTTGAACGTTTTGTTTTCTTTATCTTCCAAACTGGACCAAACCACCAAGATTCCGAGAAGCCAGTGAGGACAAAAATATCATGTTTGTAATTATTGATGAAGCCGGACTTTTCTGATGACTGAATAGCTAACTCAACTAATGAAGTACAAGTCTAGCCTTATCTCATCTAGCACCAATGAACTCTTCTTTAATACAACTTACCTCATCTTCCTCCCTTTTTCCCCCATAAAAACCCTGAACCCTTCTTCTGTTATTGGGACACTATTTGGGTTTATACCTGAATCTGTCCTCCTTGGATTGCAATTCTTTGATCTCAAATAAACCCTTTGCCTCTTAAACTGATTTCTATTTTTTTTTAAAGATTTTATTATTTTTCCTTTTTCTCCCCAAAGCCCCCCAGTGCATAGTTGTCTATTCTTCGCTGTGGGTCCCTCTAGCTGTGGCATGTGGGACGCTGCCTCAGCGCGGTTCAGTGAGCAGTGCCATGTCCGCGCCCAGGACTCGAACCAACGAAACACTGGGCCGCCTGCAGCGGAGCGCGCGAACTTAACCACTCGGCCACGGGGCCAGCCCCAAACTGATTTCTATTTTTGAAGGTTGACAGACCTCATAAAAAGGGTTACACATAATGTTAAGGACACAACAGGAGAGGACTCAAGGTCACAAAGGAGATGAAAAACGTCTGTCATGAAAGACATGTCAGAGATCACTGAAATTTGACAACAGTTTTGTACTAGTTGGGGTTTCTGGTTTGAGGAATAACCTGGAGATACATAGGGAAAAAGTGGAATAGAAATACCCTTTTTGGGAGAAGAGAATCCACAGCAGCAAGGAAAAATTTAATCCTAATATTCGCCAGGGAGATTGAATTTGACCTTGAGGACTCACCAACACATTTGGTGATAAAACAAGCACTGAGTAGTAGCATGGAGACCCCAGCAACAGTCCATAAGAACACTTGGGAAGAGAAGCACTCTTTCTCTGTGGAAAGAAAGACATAAACATGGCCAATCTTTCTTAAGCAAGATACATAAGAGATATGAAATTCTTATTCAAGCTCATTTCCTTCTATTTGCATTGTCTATATTAAGTAATTCTCAAACTTCAGCATGCATCAGAATCATTTAGAGGGCTTGTTAAAACACAGATTATGGGGCCTCACCCAGAGAGTTGGTATGAAACCAAGTTCCCAGTTGCTGCTGATCTGGGGACCACACTTTTAGAACCACTAGAGTAATCCGTTACTAATCTTATCACTCTGACTAATGAACTCAGACAGATACGCCATTTTCCCTTTCTAAGTCATCCAGTTAAAGAAATACTTTCATACTTTCTAAGATTTTGTTTCTCTTTCTGTTTCTCTTTCTCTCTCCTTTTCTCCCCTCACCATCTCTGTTTCTCTTGTCTCTCTCCTGCTCTCCTCCTTTCAGTGTCTCATTTTCCAAGCCCTTTGTAAATCAATTAGAAGAAACACTGACAATCACCTAGTAGCTTCTCTCCTCGTCCCTCCCCATACATGTGTAACAGACAAGGAAAGTGAGTCCCTAAGAAGTGAAGTGACTTGCCCAGGGGGGCACAGTGAACTACAGAAGGGCTAGAAACAGCACTCTGGTAGCTCTCCCTGAACTCCATCTCCAGTAATTTTTCCAGTATAACATATAGTCTTGTAACTGTTCTCTTTTAGTTTTCTTTCTTTCATTCCCTGCATCTCTTATTTTACTTTACTAGTTACTTCTCTATTGTCCTGTCCCTCAACATATTTATCATCCCTTTCCAAAAAAAAATCTAAGAAAGAAAAGAGAGAGCTGCAAATTGTACCTGTGCATTGTGATGCAGATGATTTGGATGAATTCATTCTTTCTCTCTGTCTCTCTTCCTCTCTCTCTCTCTCTCTCTCTCTCTCTCCTTCTCTCCTCAATTTCTGAGTCCAGGAGCGTTTTGTTGGTAAGATTCAAGGAAAATGAATCTTGAGGGTTGAACACTTCATCTGTATTTTAGGAAGTTCAACCTTAAGACATAAAAATATTAACATTTTCTGTGGCTGTGTATTTGAGTCGCAATTTCCTTTCTTGCATAAGGAGGACAAGGGAGTTTACTGGGCAACAAAGCAGTCTCCACTCCAGGAAGCAATGAAATGGGGAAGTGATGAAATGTTAAGTATCAACAGAAATAGACTGACTGTGGGGAAATGCGATGGGCTTAAGACCTATTGTTTTATTTTGGTGGATAAAATGCCTCTTCTTTCTTCCAGACCTAAATCACCCCTCGATTTTTCCTCAACACTTCTGGAGCCCACCTCTGCACTCTCAGTTTCACTTTGGATCTTCACTACCATATATTCGTTAACTGAAAAGGAGACAAACTCCAAATTCTCCACGACACTTAGCACAGGGCTGGGTATATAGTGTGTGTATTTATACTTTAGCAACATGAATTTCTTTGCATCTTTTACGTTTTTTCTTCCTCCTTCATTTGCAGCTCTTGAACATTCTAGTATTGTGGAATGATATCCCTTTTATAAAAGTGCTGACTACTAGACTATTTTACAGGTCCACCTTAGTTGAACAGCCTCATGTAGTATGACTTTTAAAACTCAGCTCAATACCTTACATCATAATACAACTCCTGAAGCCTCAGAGGCTTCTATTGTTCTGAGTTATTTGGGCATTTTTGTTTTATATTGTAGTCTACATTAGGAGAAATGAATTTGAATTTCAGAAGAAGAAATTTCAATGAGGCGTTAGAATATAATGCTTCCCAATCAAAACTACGAGATATCACCTCATGCCTGTCAGAATGGCTATTATTGAAAAGCAAGAAATAACAAGAGTTGGCAAGGATGTGGAGAAAAGGAACCCTTGTAAACTGCTGGTAGGAATGTAAATTGGTGCAGACACCATGGAAAACAGTATGGAGATTTCTCAAAAAATTAAAAGTAAAACTACCATATGATCCACTATTCCATTTCTGGGTATTTATCCAGAGAACATGAAAACACTAATTTGAAAAGATAATATGCACCTGTCTGTTCATTTCAGCATTACTCACAATAGCCAAGACTTGGAAACAACCCAAGTGTCCAACAGTGGATGAATGGATAAAGAAAATGTGGTGTGTATATATATATATATATATATATATATATATATATATACACATACACACATACATGCACACACACACAATGGAATACTACTCAGCCATAAAAAGATGAAATCTTGCCATTTGTGACAACATGGATGGACCTCGAGTGTATTATGTGAAGTGAAATGTCAGACAGAGAAAATTACTGTATGACTTCAGTCATATGTAGAAGATAAACAAAAAAATAAATACATAAATACAGAGACCAGATTGGTGGTTACCAGAAGGGAAAGGGATGGGGAGTAGGTGAAAGGGGCACAAGTGTATGGTGATGAGTGGCAACTAGACTTTTGGTAGAGAACACAGTGCAGTCTATATAGAAGTTGAAATATAATGATGTACACCTGAAATTTACATAATGTTGTAAACCAACGTGACCTCAGTAAGAAAAACAACTTAAAAAGAAAGAATATAATGCTTCTTTGGAAGATTAGTTAGATATAGTAATGTTCCATCTCCTTCCTTAAAAATCCTTAAGAATAAGTTCAAACTGGTCTCAGTTGATTTAAAGTCACAAGTGTCAGGAGGCATTAGTAACATATGTATATGACCTGGTAATTCCCATACCCAATGACTCATAGACTTTCATGTGTTAGGAAATATTCATGTTCTCCAAGGGACTTTTCACTGTTTCAATATGTCAGTCAACTTCGTCTGCATTTTCCGTTTTACAGTTATATAGATTTATTAAAGAATGTCTAAAAATTATACATGTACATATTATAAAATATGCACATATTTAATATGCATATTACCAGCAAATTGCTTTTGGCCAGTAAAACAGAAATTATCTTGTGGAGAAATTATATGAATTATTAAATGATAAAGCATAATGACTACAGTCAATTATTTATTAATTATGACCAATCAAAATAATCAACATTAACAATAATACATACATAATTATAAATAATTATACATATGCAATTAGTGAGATATTAATAATTAGTAAATTAATACTATTTACCAGCCAAAAAATATATATTGTTTTATCCTTTATATCACTTTTTCCCAAATTATAAAAGTAATATTTTTATGGTTAATGGTAGGAGAAGAATATGACAATTAATAAACCTCCCGTCTATCCTCAGTGCACTCTTCTTGAGTCAACCACACTTAATGATTCCTTATATATAATTTGAGACATTTTTAAACTTATATAAGTGCAGCTTGTATAATATATTGTTTATTCATTTTTATGTAAATAACATTACATCATTTATACTTTTATGTTTTGAAAATTACCTTACATCACACATTAAACACATTAAATTACACCAATGTGTTTGGACATCTATCTCCTTAATTCTTTTCTTTTTATGCTTATCCTAGCATTTCTAGTCTTCTTTTTATTGAGATAACATTGGTTTATAATACTATATAAATTTCAAGTATACATCATTTTATTTTGATTTCTGTGTAGACTATATGATATGCATGACGCAAAGACTAATTAACATCCATCACCATACAAGTGTGCCCTTTTATTCCTTTCACTCTCCCTCCTTCCCCTCTGGTAACCACCAATCTAATCTCTATATCAATGTGTGTGTTTGTTGTTGTTTTTATCTTCCACTTATAAGTGAACTAATATGGTATTTGGCTTTGTCTGTCTGACTTATTTTGCTTAGCTTAATACCATCAAGATCCATCCATGTTGTCACAAATGGCAAAATTTCATCTTTTTTTATGGCTAGGCAGTATTACATTGTATATATATACAACATCCTCTTTATCCATTCATCCGTGGATGTGCACTTAGATTGTTTCCAAGTCTTGCCTATTGGTGAAAAATGCTGCAGTGAACATGAAGCAAATATCTTTTGATGTGGTGTTTTCATGTTCTTTAAATAAATACCTGGCAGTGGAATAGCTGGATCATATGGTAGTTCTAGTCTTAATTTTTGAGGAACTCCATACTAGTTTCCATAGTGGCTGTACGAGTTCGCTTTCCCACCAGCAGTGTATGAGTCTTCCCTTTTCTCCACATCCTCTCCAACATTTGTTGTTTTTTTGTCTTGGTAATTATAGCCATTCTGACGTGCATGAGGTGCTATCTCATTGTAGTTTTGATTTGCATTTCCCTGATAATTACTGATGTTGAACATCTTTTCATGTGCCTGTTGGCCATCTGTATCTCTTCTTGGAAAAACGTCTGTTCAGATCCTTTGCCCAGGATCTGGCAATTTTTAAATTGGATTTTGTTGTTGTTGTTGAGTTGTACAAGTTCTTTATATATTTTGGAGATTAACCCCTTGTCAGATATACGATTTGAAAATATTTTCTCCAAGTTGGTGGGTTGTCTTTTTGTTCATTGATTGTTTCCTTGGCTGTGCAGAAGATTTTTAGTTTGATGTAGTCCCATTTGTTTATTTTTTCTTTTGTTTCACTTGCCTGGTGGGACATGGTATTCAAAAAGACTGGTAAGACCAATGTCGAAGAGCATACTGCCTATGTTTTCTTCTAGAAGTTTTATGGTTTTAGGTCTTATATTCAAGTCTTTAATCCATTTTGAGTTAGCTTTTGTGTGTGGTGTAAGATAATGGTCTACTTTCATTCTTTTGCATGTGGCTGTCCAGTTTTCCCAAAACCATTTATTGAAGAGATTTTCTTTTCTCCATTGTATGTTCTTGGTCTTCTCGTCGAAAATGAGCTGTCCACACATGTGTATGTTTATTTCTGGACTCTGGATTCTGTTCCATTGGTCTGGTTTTTTTGTGCCAATATGATGCTGTTTTGATTACTGTAGCTATGAAGTATATTTTGAAATAAGGGAGTGCAATAGCTCCAGCTTTGTTCTTTTATCTCAGGATTGGCTATTCGGGGTCTTTTGTTGCTCCTTAAAAGTTTTCATATTCTTTGTTCTATTGCCATGGAAAATGTCCTTGGGACTTTGATAGAGATTGCAATGAATCTGTGGATTGCTTTAGAAAGTATGGACATTTAAAATATGTTAATTCTTCCAATCCACGTGCATGGAATCTTTCCATTTCTTTGTGTTTTCTTCAATTTCTTTAGACAGTGTTTTATAATTTTCAGTGTAAAGGCCTTTCACATCTTTGATTAAATTAAATCCTATGTATTTTATTCTTTTTGTTGCAATCATAAATAGGATTCTATTCTTGATTTCTCTTTTTGCTATTTTGCAATTAGTGTACAGAAACACAGCTGATTTTCGTATCCTGCAACTTTACTGCATTCATTTATTATTTCTAATAGTTTTTTGGGTTTCCTATATATAAAATCATGTCATCTAAAAATGGCGACAGTTTCACTCTTTCTTTCTAATTTGGATCCCTTTTATTTCTTTTTCTTGCCTTATTGCTCTGGCTAGGACGTCCAACACTAGGTTAAATAAGAGTGGCAAAAGTAGTCATCCTTGTCTTGTTTCTGTTCTTAGAGGGATAGCTTTCAGTTTCTCACCATTGAGTATGATGTTAACTGTGGGTTTGTCATATATGGCCTTTATTGTGTTGAGGTATTTTCTTTCTATACTCATTTTATTCAGAGTTTTTATCAAATGCATGCTGTATCTTGTTGAATGCTTTCTCTGCATCAGTTGAGATGATCATGTGATTTTTATTCTTCATTTTGTTAATATGATATATCACGTTGATTGATTACAGATATTGAACTGTCCCTGCATCCTGGAATAAATCCCACTTGATCACAGCATATGATCTTTTTAATGTATTGTTGTATTCAATTTGCTAGTATTTTGTTGAGAACTTTTGTATCAATTTTCATCAGTGATATTGCCATGTGATTTTCTTTTTCTGTGCTGTTCTTGTCTGATTTTGGAATCAGGATAACGTTGACTTTGTTGAATGAGTTAGGAAGCATCCCCTCCTCTTCAATTTTTTTGGAAGAGTTTGAGAAGGATAGGTATTAAACCTTCTTTAAATGGCAGAATTCACTGGGGAAGCCACCTGGTCCTGGACTTTCGTCTTTTGAGATGTTTGTGATTACTGTTTCAATCTCCTTACTAGTGATCAAGCTATTCAGATTGTTTATTTCTTCTTGGTTCAGTTTTGGAAGGTTGTATGAGTCTCAGAATTTATCCATTTCTTCTACATTATCCTGTTTGTTGGTACAGTTTTTCATAGTATTCTCCCATAATTCTTTGTATTTCTGTGGTGCCTGTTGTAATTTCTCCTCTTTTGTTTCTGATTTTATTTATTTCAGCCATCTCTCTTTTTTCTTGGTGAGTCTAGCCAAAGTTTTCTCAATTTTGTTTATCTTTTCAAAGAACCAGCAGTTTCACCAATTTTTAAAATTTTTTGTCTCTATTTAATTTATTTCCGCTCTGATTTTTATTATTTCCTTCCTTCTACTAATTTTGGGCTTTGTTTATTCTTCATTGTTTAGTGAACTTAGGTGTATTGTCAGATTGTTTAGGTGAGATTTTTCTTGTTTCTGGGGGTAGGCCTGTATTGCTATAAACTTCCCTCTTGTAATACTTTTGCTGTATCTCACAAATTTTGGTATGTTGTATTTTTATTTTCATTTGTCACCAGGTATGTTTTGATTTCTCCTTTGATTTCTACATTGGCCCAATAGTTGTTCAGTGGCATTTTGTTTAATTTCCACATATTTGCGGCTTTTCCAGTTTTCTTATTGTAGTTCATTTTTAGTTTCATACCACTGTGGTCAGAAAAGATGATTGGTATTATTTCAGTCTTCTTAAATTTATTGAGACTTGTTTTGTAGCCCAATATGTGATTTATCATGGAGAATGTTCCACAGGCATTCAAAAAGAAAGTGCATTCTGCAGTTTTTGGATGGAATGTTCTGTACATGTCTACTAAGTTCACCTGGTGTAATATGTCATCTAAGGCCAATTGTTTCCATGGACTTGCTTGTGGGTGGGGCTAGTCCACGGGATAGGCTACCTGACCTGGCTGAACTCAACTACCTCAGGTGCTCTTGTGGGTGGGGCAATCTCCTATGCTAAAAGGCTAGAGGAAGGAATCCAATGGTGTGCCAGTGTCTGTGTCAGCACTGCTGAATTAGGTCACAATAATGGCTGCTGCCAGTGTCACAGTCCCTGGGGATGTGGGCCCAGCTACCTCCTGCCTCTCCAAGATGTGCTTCAAGCTTAGTAAGTGAGTCTCCTTTACCAATAGGCTATGCAGTTTCCTTTCTGGTGTTTTTGTGCTAGTATCTGGAACAGGTCAATCTGTGCGTAGGCCCTTTAAAAGCAGGTTTCTCTTTCTCTGACATTTGATAGTTTTTCTGGGCATATTCCCAATTGGTTTTCAAAGCCAACAAAGCCAGGTATTAAGGGATCTCTTCTTGGTTGTGCTAAATCTAAAGGCTATGATGCTTATAGTGGCATAGATTCCATGCTCAGATCCCCTCCTCCTTTGGGAAAAGATCCATTCCTTTGAGATAATTCCTCACCATGAAGTACCATGGCTAGGGTGTGGTTTTTTTCCTCAGTGGAGCTGTATTTCTGTCTCTTCCACCCATGTCTGTATTTTCCTTTGTTGTGGGGCTTCTTTTTTTCCCTAAAGATTGACACCTGAGCTAACAACTGTTCCCAATATCCCTTCCCCCCGACCTCCTTATTCTCCCTAAAGCCCCCCCGGTACATAGTTATATATTCTAGTTGTGAGCGCCTCTGGTTGTGCTATGTGGGACACCACCCCAGCATGGCCCAATGAGTGGTGCCATGTCTATGCCCAGGATCCAAACCAGCAAAACCCTGGGCCACTGAAGTGGAGTGTGCAAACTTAGCCACTCAGTCGCAGGGCAGGCCCTGTGGGGTTTCTTTTTATCCAGTCTCCAGATATCTCTCAGGGGAAATTGTTCCAGGGGTAGTTGTAGATTTGTTGCATCCATGGGAGGAGGTGAGTTTAGAGTCCTATGCCACCATCTTCCAAACCCCCTATCTTCTTAATTGTATTGTTTAAAATTTTCCATAATTTATAGACCAGGCACTTCTGAAGGGCATTTAAATCGTTTCTAGTTTTTCATTCCTCTAACAAATGAAGCCATACCTTTATCCATATTTGTAGGTGCACGCTTTTTGGCTCAATGATACACGGCCAATCGTTAGGAAATCAATATTTGGCTGGAGCCTTCATCGCAGAATGACATTGTGGGATACAAAAATAAATCTAGAATTTTGTCTGAAGGCAATTTTTATTGCAATTTAATATTGAGTCCTTATTAGGCAAATGTAACACAATGACGTTACAGTATAGGAACAGTAACTGCTCAGCAGTGCAGCTGGCACATTATTCTTGTGATCACTATCCTGCAATTTGACATATGAGACAACCACTTCTTTTTCATTGTGGAAAAGTAGAGAATAAGATATTTCTGGATACTTTACTTTTCTTTAATCCCTTCTTATTCATACTCTTCAACAACAACAAAAAGTTCTCCCTGTAACAAATATGATTCTTAATGGATTTTGTTTAATAAGATTTTGGAATTTTTCTCCCTTATGCAATTTTGAAGTGGCAAAACTGGTATCCTGCTGGTCATTTGTCCCTATAAGATGTGAAAAATTCTCAAAAACACTTATAGCCTAAATGGAAATTAAATAACAAAACAATTTATTTCACTTTTAAAGATTATTATGTCTAAAAGAGGTATTCTGGAAAGATTAGAATTATGATATAATTAATTTCTACTATGCTTGTATTATTTCAAATTTTACAAATACATGTTAAGTATATTATTTAAATTTTTATGAATGATTTTATTAAAGCTATCCAGATATAGCACTCTCTTTTAATATTTGTATTTCCTATCAATTTCCTTATTTATTTTATAACTTAAAGAACTTTTTATTTTTTTCAGTTTTTGGTGAGGAAGATTGGCCTGAGCTAACATCTGTTGCCAATCTTCCTCTCTTTGCTTGAGGAAGGTTGTTGCTGAGCTAACACCTGTGCCAGTCTTCATCTATTTTTTTATGTGGGATGCCATCACAGAATGGCTTGATAAGCAGTGTGTAGGTTTGTACCCAGGGCCCAAACCAGTGGACCCTGGGCTGCCATAGTGGAGCGCTTGAACTTAACCACTATGCCACTGGGCCAACCCCATGAAATTTGTAAAATAACTACTATTTAATATTGCTTAAATAATTTTTAAAGGAAGTTCTTTTTTTGTTTTTGTTTTTTTTTTTAAAGATTTGCACCTGAGGTAACAACTGTTGCCAATCTTCATTTTTTTTTCTTTTTTCTTTCTGATTTTTCTCCACAAATCCCCCCAGTACATAGTTGTATATTTTAGCTGTGGGTCCTTCTAGTTGTGGTGCGTGGGACGTCACCTCAGCGTGGCCTGACAAGTGGTGCACGTCCGCACCCAGGATCCAAACCAGCGAAACCCCAGGCTGCCGCAGTGGAGTGTGCAAACTTAACCACTCGGCCATGGGTCTGGCCCCAGGAAGTTCTTGATATTTGACTTTGTATACAAATTTAACAGCTTTTTCAAAACCATTATTGTAGCATTTTATTTTTTTTTAAATTAAGGTAATGGCTTATAATATTATATAAATTTCAGGTGTACATCATTATATTTTGATTCCTGTGTAGATTACATCATGTTCACCACTCAAAGACTGATTACCATCCATCACCATACACATGTACCCTATCACCCATTGCATCCTCCTCCCTCCCTGCTTCCCCTCTGGTATCCCCTCTGGTACCACCAGTCTAATCTCTGTATCTATGTGCTTATTTGTTGTTTTTATCTTCTATTTATGCATGAGATCATACGGTATTTGACTTTCTCTGACTTACTTCTCTCAGCATAATACTCTCAATGTCCATCCATCTTTTCACAAATAGTGAGATTTTATCTTTTATTATGGCTGAGTAGTATGTGTATATATGCCACATCTTCTTTACCCATTCATCCCTTGACGGGTAATTAGGTTGTTTCCAAATCTTGGCTATTGTAAATAATGCCACAGTGAGCATAGGGGTGTATATATCTTTACACATTCATATTTTCACATTTTTTGCATAAATACCTGGTAGTGGAGTAGCTGGATCATATGGTAGTTTTATTCTTAATTTTTTGAGGAATCTCCATACTGTTTTCCATGGTGACTGCACCAGTTTGCACTGCCACCAGCAGTGTATGAAAGTTCCCTTTTCTCCACATCCTCTCTAACCCTTTTCTTGTCTTGTTAATTACAGCCATTCTGATGGATCTGAGGTGATATCTCATTGTACTTTTGATTTGCACTTCCCTGATAGTTAATGATGTTGAATATCTTTCACGTACCTTTTTGCTATCTGTATATCTTCTTGGAAAAATGTCTATTCAGGTCCCTTGCCCATTTTTTAATTGGCTTGTCTGTTTTTTTATTTTTGAGTTGAATGAGTTCTTTATACATTTTGGATATTAATCCCTTATCAGGTATATGGTTTGTAAATATCTTTCCCCAGTTGTTAGGTTGTCTTTTTGTTTTGTTGGTGGTTTCCTTTATTGTGCAGAAGCTTTTTAGTTTGATGTAGTCCCATTTGTTTATTTTTTCTTTATTTCGCTTGCCTGGTGGGACAAAAATACTGGTAAGACCAATGTCAAAGAGCATACTGCCTATGTTTTCTTCTAGAATATTTATGGTTTTAGGTCTTACATTCAAGTCTTTAATCCATTTTGAGTTAATTTTTATGTATAGTGTTTGATAATGGGCTACTTTTATTCTTTGCATGTGGCTGTCCAGTTTTCCCAAAACAATTTATTGAAGAGACTCCTTTCTTCATTGTATGCTCTTGGTTCCTTTGTCAAAAACAAGCTGACTCTAGATGTGTGGGTTTATTTCTGTGTTCTCAGTTCTGAATCATTGATCTCTGTGTCTGTTTCTGTGCCAGCACCATGTTGTTGTGACTACTATAGCTTTGAAGTATACTTTGAAATCAGGGAGTGCAATACCTCCAGCTTTGTTCTTTTTCTCAGAATTCCTTTGACTACTTGGGGCATTTTGTCATTCCACATATATTTTAGAATATTTGCTCTATTTCTCTGAAAAATGTCTTTGGCACTTTGACAGGGATTGCATTGAATCTGTAGATTGCTTTAGGAAGTATGGACATTTTAACTATGTTAATTCTTCCAAGCTAAGAGCATGGAGTATTTTCCATTTCTTTGTTTCTGCTTCAATTTCTTTCAACTATGTTTTATAGTTTTCAGTGTACAAATCTTTCACCTCCTTGGTTAAATTTATTCCTAAGTATTTTATTCTTTTTGTTGCAATTGTAAATGGGATTGCATTCTTAATTTCTCTTTCTGCTACTTTGTTGTTAGTGTATAGAAACACAACTGATTTTCGTATGTTGATTTTGCATCCTGCAACTTTACTGTATTCATTTATTGTTTTTAATAGATTTTTGGTGGATTCTTTCAAGTTTTCTCTATATAAAATCATATCATCTTCAAATAGTGACAGTTTCACTCTTCTTATCCAATATGGATCCCTTTTATTTCTTTTTCTTGCCTGATTGCTCTGGCTGGGACTTCCAATACTATGTTAAATAAGAGTGGCAAAAGTGGGCATCTTTGTCTTGTTCCTGTTCTTAAATTAATAGCTTTCAGTTTTTCACCATTGAGTATGATGTTAGCTGTGGGTTTGTAATATATGGTCTTTATTATGTTGAGGTACTTTCCTTTTATATTCATTTTATATAGAGTTTTTATCACAAATGGATGCTATATCTTGTCAAATGTTTTCTCTGCATCTATTGATATGATCATGTGATTTTTATTCTTCATTTTATTAATATGGTGTATCACACTGATTGATTTGCAGATGTTGGATCATCCGTGCATCCATGGAATAAATCCCACTTGATCATGGTGTATGATCTTTTTACTATATCAATTTACTAGTATTTTGTTGAAGACTTTTGCATCAATGTTCATCAGTAATATAGTCCTGGAATTTTCTTTTTTGTGCTGTCCTTTTCTGATTTTGGTATCAAGGTAATTTTGGCCTTGTAGAATGATTTAAGAAGCATCCTTTCCTCTTTAATTTTTTGGAAGAGTTTGAGAAGGATAGGTATTGACTCTTCTTTGAATGTTTGCTAGAATTCACCAGGGAGGCCATCTGGTTCTGGACTTTTGTTTTTTGGGAGGGTT